TACAACAGAGATTTCTAAAATAAAAAACTTTTTTCGTTCTTAATTGGAACTTAAAAATGTAATTCATTTCAGAACCTTCTAGATTCAGATCTAGTTTGAATTTTCAGAGGATGATCTAATTCAAATAGAAGGCCATTTATTTCCGAATTGATTTCTTTTATTGACAACTTAAGGAGGTAAAAGAGGGCTAAAAAATCTTCAACACTCATGTCCATATCAAACACAATATTCTTCCCAATATGCTTGCCTCCAAAGTTCTATTTGTCAAATAATTTTTTATAATAAGAAAATATTGCTTAGAAAGTTTAAATCCATTGTTTTCTCTTTTGTTTAAATCTTCAAGTAGATGATTGAAAGAGTACTTGGAAAGATGAAAGAAGAAGAAGGGGGGGGGGGGGGGGGGGGGGGGGGGGGGGGGATGGCAACGACGGCGGCAACCTTACGAGTTGTAAACAGTATCAAAAAAAAAATTCACCTTATTATTATTGTAAACAGTATCAAAAAATATTCTACATCAAGTTTGTATTGGAAAATACAACAAATGGCCTTTTGTTTCTTCAGACATTTGACCTAATGTCTTCAAATAATCATCCAACTCCTCTTTGTAGGTGCTCCATGCACACCATCACAATACATTACACATCAGTTTAGATTTCTTATCTTTTTTCTCCATTGGTGGCCTCTATGTGTCTCACACAATATCTATACAAAGCATTAGGTAAAACATTGTTTATAAGTCATAAATATATGCATGACAAACGAAAGTACATAAGATAATGATATATAGATATACAATGACAGCAACACATAAAGATACATAAGATAAAGATACATAAGTAAGAATGAATAAATCTGTGAGATTTGCCTTTTGTATATCAGAGATAAATGTAATTACATCTCATTGAGTCCTGACCAACAACACACATCAGTTGACCTTAAACTTTACCCTTCAAAAATGTACCATCAAGGCCAATGAAAGGTCTCAACCCATTCTTAAAACCATTCTTCATTGCTTCAAAACAAATGTACATTCTCAAAAATTTCCTTTTTCCATCTAATAATGCATCTCTTGAAACCTTAAGGACAACATCACTTCATGCATTACTCTTTTAAAGTATTTGCATACCCAACAAGCTCTTTTATAATCATCACAAAAACTGCCTTCATATTCTTCAAAATCATTTTTTTAGCTTTCTTACAATTTTCAAAATGAGCATTAATGTTGAAAGTAGTTTGAGATCAACTCTCATTTCCTTTATCTTGTATTTGAAATTAGCCTGCAACTTCTCCTTAAAGTAGAAAGCAATTGCAGTTGCACTAACCTTGTAGTTACCACATGAAACATCACATTTATGCTCTCCTTTCAATGTTTTCATACTAACACCAGGAGAATGCTTTTCACCAAAAATTAGGCATACAAAGTTGCATTCTTCTTTGCAAACAACCCTAAACCTTTTTGAGTCAATTTTTTTAATAGTTAAATTATAGTCATTTGCCCATGCATGTAAACTAATGTATCTCCTAGCTTCAGCAATATCCTAAATGTCATTGACCTGTGTAAATTCTTGTAATCACACAAGCTACAATCAATTATCCTCTTTCTTTCTTGTGCAAGAACCTCCAATTCTTCAGAATTATTAGTGGAAGTATCACTGTCATTATCAGTACCATTAACAACAGTAAAATCAGTAGCTACTTCATCAATCACTACCACACTCTCTTTCATTTTGGTTATTTTCTCAACATCAACATCTAACTCACTATCCTCAACAACAAATAAGTTAATAACATCAAATCTTTCATTAACAAAGGATAATAATGTCCTAATCCCCTCATCATCTACTATTTCATAGTATTTTTCAGTAGATATACAATTAATTGTTGCACAACCACATATCCTAATTTATCATTGTATTCATTAGTAATATCTATAAAAGATAAGAGATCAGAATCATAACCTCTCATTTGTGAACAAGTTTTCTCTTATAAAGTAACTTAGGCTCTCTTATCCATTCATCATAGTGAAATACAGATCAACCAAAGCCATTTTAGGTAAACTGAGGCACACAAAAAAACATTAACAACTTTCAAAACTAAACCACTTTACAAAAGCAATAATGAGACAGAAAGATTAACTAAACATTAACTAAAAAAAGGTTAAAGAAAGAGTAAAAAAACAAATAAAAAGGCACACAAAGACAACAAACAAATTAAAAACTATAATATTTCAACAAACAAACGAGGCACCACATTCAATCATGAATAAAATATTAGGACCACAAATCTCCAAAATCTAAACCTCCTCCTCCAAAATCATACAATACCCTAAAACCTACCCGCAAACCCTAACTCGTAAGAAAGCAAACCAATAACTCAGAAAGTTAAATAAAACTTTAAGTCTTTAACCCACAAGCCCTAACTCATAAATCAATAACTAAACTAACAGATCGCAAGATTTTATCGATAAAAGGCAAATCAATAACTCAGAAATTTGAATAAAACCTTAACCCACAAACCCTAACTCGTAAATCAACAACTAAACTAATAGATCGTAAAATTTTATCGGTAAAAAGGCAAATCAATAACTGAAAAATTTGAATAAAATCTTAACCCACAAATCTTAACTCGTAAATCAACAACTAAACTAACAAATCGTAAAATTTTATTGATAAAAAGGCAAACCAATAACTCAGAAATTAGTATAAAAGCTTTACTCACAAACCCTAACTCGTAAATCAACAACTAAACCTTATAGAAAGACAATAATCAGAGAAGGTTAAATTTGATACCTTAATAACGTCTAGTAGAAATTCTGATGGAGAAAAGAGCTAAAATGTCCCCAATTTCATTGTTCTTCGACTTAGGTTAGGTTCGTGAGTTTATCCTTTGAGAGAGAGAATAGGTAAATGGGAATGAGTAAAAGGGGTAAATGGGAATGGGTAAAACGGGAATGAGTTATACATTAGAGGGGTCGGGGCATTGGGTTTAAAATGGGGAATGAGTCGTTTTTAAAAATTCGGGTTAATTTAAGTCAATTTGGGAATTTCCATCAACATAGGGGCACAAATAATAAAATTAGTAACGACAGGGGTAAGAATAACTTCGTTTTAACAATAAAGGCATAGTTAACTAATAAATCAAAGTTGAGCGATATTTTTTACCCTTTTCCCTTTTTTTTTTATAATAGATCAGAATACAAAATCATTTTTAAAAAAAACGGTAAATAGCATGTTGCATGTAATCAAACTGCACATACGATCATACCTTCCAAATGCCTTTAGGGTTATATATCAAACACAAGTAAATAGATAAGAAACAAACTAATTTTCCTAAAAAACATTTTCATTCATACTAAGCACACCCTTAATCTTTCTACCAACAAAACAAAGTTGGGTGAAATTTGAATTCCTCCGATGTTGTAAAATCTGAATTACAGATCTAAAAATCTTGACCAACACAAAGTAGAGTTCACAGTTTCTTTGTGTGTGTTGTGATTAGTAATACGCGCATCTCTATGTATTCACCGGTTATTTGCTACATCCTACCAACACAAAATAATATGATCTGCCACCAAAACTTAAGAAAATGAAAAATTCAACATGTAATGGCTTGGTGATTGATGTAAAGGAGGCCATTATTCAACGCTTTTACAAAGAATATTATCATCAAGTTTTCTTAGAAAATATTTGCTTGCTCAATTACTACAATCAAAGAGAGCTATGAAGTATGAAACAATCACTCAAAACTTACCTCCAGATGCATTGTGCAAGAGGGTAATATTTCTATCCAGGAAATTGTAGCATTGGCAAAACCAGCTAAGTAGCTCTCGGTTCAGCCCAAGACAGTGGGTTAGTTCCAGAAATGTGAATTTTAACTAAAAGTGCATCAAAGAAACAGCATATGAACCCATAGCATTAGAGATAAGTATGAGATCCGGATAGTGAAATATGTTGCGATGAGTCTCAAAAGCTACATTCATTTTAGTAGCTCCAACCATTAGTAGATAACGAGATGTTCAAATCCTGGATCAGTCACTATCAATAAGCCTTGACCAGCCCCTATAACTCAACACACATGTAAAGTCGACCTGCCGACCTACTGTCCCCCAAGAAACAAGATTCTCAAGCCATTCAGATCAAGAAATCAAAAAGAAACACATAAACCATGAAGACTCCCAGAGACTGTAAAAGAGGATATTAAGGCAATGTGGGAAAGGGTAGTTTCTTTTTTAAAGAAACGTACATTTATAAGGAATAGAAAGTCTACTCTTCCCATAGTGTGCACAGCCGTAGACACTGATTCGTTTTCAAAACTCAAGGGAAGGGATGGCAGACTTTAAGAGATTGATGCAACAAAAGGAAGAAAGCAATTGAACAAGCTGTAAGCTGACAGATAAATACATGGTTATTCAACTATGTAATTTTATTGATGTGAATCTATTTAAAGCAGTCAAAAGAAATGTAAGTTGGAGCATTCCCAATGGATTACGTAACTCCGGAAAGTAAAAACTCCACCTTCTGTTGCACATCAATCACTTTAAGATGCAACATCTACATAATTTCTGCACAGTTGGTCCAACTACTCACCGGTATTTAACAAGAAAATAGTACTTTATAGATCTGGAAAGCAAAACAGCACCTTCTTGTCCACTTTCAAACACTTCTGCAATCCAACATCTACTAAATTCATAACAGCACTCCTGCCCACCTACTCACCACTTACGAGTGTTGAGCAATATTTCACCACTGTCTAAATGATCCACCAACATTAATTTCATATTAACGCCACAGAAGAGCCAAAAACCCAAGAATGTAATAGCTGAGAGACAGGATGATTAGTGCACTAACAAGTGAAAAATAAAAGTTACAAGAGAAGCAACACAACACAAGGACAGGCATACTGGAAATATCATGTGTGAATCCCTTACTTGATCTTCTATCTTCTTCCTTTTGGGGGCTTTGTTTGGGGATGGGGGGTTTGGGGGGAGGGGGAGGGGGGAGTAGAGAGAGAAGAGGATATTTCATTATAAGGGCTCATTCACACATATTTTTAACTGAAACACACGTGAAAATAAAAGGTTGTCAATTACATTGGATAACCACACCTTCTCAGGTCTCTACTGAAGAAGGGGTGCCGTAATGCTTCTCTAGCTTTCAGCCGTTCTGTTGGGTCATAACAAAGCAGCCCTTGCAAAAGATCTATGAGATCTCCAGCAGAGTGATCCACATGCTGCATTATCAGGTTCTGAAATATGATAGAAATAACATTAAAGCTAATAAAAGCAATTCCATAAATGGAAAGAGATTTAAAGAAAAAAAAAGTATAAATGCTCCAAACCACTCAGAGATCAATTATCTGTGGCAAATTTGACTACATACTCAGATATACAATGAACAAACTCTGAAGGATATAAACTAATGGACCAGTACCGTTAACAAACTACAATATCCAATCATGCATTTCTTTTAGTCAAACTATTCAACAATGTACAGGGAGTTGGGAAGCTTCTTGTTACAAAGATATCACTAATACAACCCCAAAATTCACTATTTCCCTTGGAGAACAGGAGAAGACTAATTAAACAATCATACAAAAGGCTGAGAGTGAGAAAGAAAACAATAGAAAAGATGAAAAAGTAACGTTCACAGCATTCCTACTATATCTTTTCAAACTAACAACTCAAAAATAAAAGCAAATATATTTGTCGATGCAGTTGCTAGATGCTAGGGAAAACAAAAAAGAAAGAAGAAAAGATATAAAGGTGTGAGATACATCGTACATGCTAAGCAAAATTCACACATCTGCACTAGTGCTCCTTGAAAAGGTTTAACACTCGCAACAAGGCCTCATGAAAATTCTCACCGGATTAAAAGCAAAAATATTTGCACCACAGGATATAGCTTAGATTCAGGAATTACCGGGAGACGAGGCAATTTCCAGACGGCCCTCATACTTTCACTTGAAGTTGCACGTTCTGGCCAATCCAACCTTGCACCACTTCTAAAGTATTTCTCAGCACGGCGGCTACAAAAAGTGAGGCAAATAAAGCATGTCCTATTTGATGAAATAACATAAACTACAAATAAAATCAAAAGCAACAAAAATCTTACTCAGCTCTTACAGCCATGTGCTGAGGAAGAGGCCCTAGCACCTTTTCCATCATCGCAAGATGCTCCAAGTTCTCATGTGTTTGAAAAAGAGCCTCACCCTATATATGCATTTTTTTGGGTGGGTGGGTGGGGTGGGGTGGGGTGGGGGTTAGTCAAAGTCAGAAAATCAAATGTAACAGAGTAATCATATCAGAGCCCCGGGTAAAGTGCAAACTTTTGGAAGCAAAACCACAAGTAAATATAAATAGCTTACGGAGCAACAAACAGAAGTGTGGACTCCATGGCAAGAATGTATGGCAAAGGAAAAGATATTAGACCTAGATTAGACCCAAATCACTGGAATAATGCGACTCCGAGGAGAAGGATTTAACTAGTCAGCTGACATGTGAAACAAGAATCCTTTTTTATAAGGAGAAACAAGAGTCCATTTCAAGTATTATTGTCGTCACACCTAATCTTTCTTAAATAATTTATTACATTTTCAAACAAGGGTGCTCATTATATTCATGCAGTTAGCCCTAAACTCCTTTTTTGAGAATTGGTAACATAGTTAGCCCTAAACTCTTCTTAAATATTAATAGGAAAAGGAAGATAACCAATCCATTTAAACGTTAAAACCACATGACAGATAAAAGAATATTTTTTCCAATGTCCTAACCGAAGGTCTGAACCATTTCTAGAAAGCACCTGCGCATCACTGAATCATGACCATCTTCTCAAACCAAAAAGTTGAGCCTATTGATTTAACTATAGATTTGTTGGGTACCCATTGTATTCAACAGGTCAAGGGTAGTTCCAAGGAATCATCATGAAACTGTGCCATAACATTTTACTCCATACCTCATTGGGTATTCATAAACGCTAAATAATCACCTCGGTCTGGGGTTTTTAGGTGTATAATGGACAAAATAGCATCAGGAGCTAATGTTGCATATTGTCTTGCCACTTAAAACGATTAGGCCAGATCAGAGGGCATAAAAGTCCCTAGCTTCAATCTTTGTGTAACTAAGTTTGATTGTAGTGAGTGAAGAAGTTCATATATATATCCTAGCAGCCAGATCAATCATTTCTTCTTCATGACAGAATAGTTAGTCTTGGGCTAGCAGAAAATCAAAGTTTATCAGAAGCCTGGTCTAAAATTAATGAAAAATTAGCATTTTTATGATTACATCGGCAATAATCCAGCAAAAGGAGGATTATTCAAAGCAGGCTCAATGGATGACAGGGATGGAATAGCATAAGCAAATAAAAAAAACTAAGCCTCAGTCCCAAGCTAGTTGAGGTGGCTGTGATCCTCAATATCATAGATTCTCTACTTGGGAGTAAAAAGAAAAAAGAAAACAAGAAAATCATAATGACAAAAAAGATAAATAACAAACAAGGATGTAAAACCATACACATAATTAACTCTCACTTACAGAGCAAAGCTCAACAAGTATGCAACCTACACTCCACATATCACAGGGATAGTTCCATCCAAGACCTATAAAAACAGCATAAGACAAACTAAAAGACTGACAAGATGCAACTAAAAGATGAAAATCTGAGAGATAGAGTAACTACCTAAGATAACCTCCGGAGCACGGTAATGACGTGTAGACACCACATAAGTATGATCCTGATGTTCAAATGTTGTACTGCCGAAGTCAATGAGCTTAATAGAACTTGACTTTGGCACATTCTTGAAGTAGGAACCATCTTTTGCAGGTCGCAGCAGAAACTTCATAGCGGGCAAGAAGGGGAAAAAGACATCAGTAGTAAAGACTTTTCAAGTTGCAGAAAGAGGAGAAATCAGAAAACAATCACAACCTACATGATATGCCATTTCAGAAACAAGGGAAGTGCTATTAATTTCCCATAAAGATGGTAGTAATAGGAACATACTAACGTTATACATATTTAATGAAGCGCCAATGTTATACATTCTCTGTGCAAGATTCTGGTTTCTACTTCCTAACCAACCAAGTAGATGGAACCATTGGTGAGTTTTACAGAACATACAAATGCAGTTCATATGAAAATATTGAGCAGAAGGACAGAAGAATTAAAAGAAACTTGCTCGATCTCCTGTTTCAGAGTTAAAACATGAAAATGACAAAGCAGAGAATAGTCTTCAATAAAGTATTCTACTTTCTTTTTCGGGTTATTCCAAAAGAATAACACTATCTTACAAGATCAACATCTTCTCCATAATCTTTAATACTTTCAATTTCTCAAAAATGGTTAAAGGGAAGCCACTCCCATACACCCCATTTAACTCTCCATGCAGGTGCTCATAGCAAAACAAAAATGCAAATTGGAATGGGATACTAAGTTAATGGAGTCCATTTACCTCCTTACTTCATAATCTCATGATTTACTACTTTGACAATCTGGATTGATCAAGCTGATGCATAAAATATGTACTAAGTATTCATGTCATGAAACGTAGAGCATTAGATTACTGTTAAATCTGTTTAGACACTAAAACACAAAAAAGTCATAGAGATTTGATTATTTTTTAACCTTTCTTCTTATTATGTCATCCTAAATGGATGACTTAGTTTAACTAGGCTGAGTAGGCTTCAAATTTCAATAGGTTATCATTGTAGAAGATAAAATTAGAGTTAAGACCTTCAAAGAGCAAAGTAACAAATTGCCACATCAAAATGAAGACAATACGATTCAATATATTTTACAATAGGTGGAGTTCTTTAAGGCAAAATCTTGTATAACAAGAAATGGCTCTGTTTACTGAATACCAAAGGAGTCAGAAAAGTAGCACAGCCTTTGTGCTGATGATATATAAAAAATCTGGTACTTTATAAATAAGTAAAAAAGGATTGTAAAAAAAAAATAAGTAAAAAAGGAGCCAGAAAAGTAAGATCCTAGAGATGTATTAAAGTTAGTAGTGGAGATTTTTAGCATAATTACAAAATAGAAAACATGATCCAGTCTGAAGTGGAGAAAATCCATTGCTTAAATTTCTAGGGAACAGCCATCTATTTTGATAAAGTAAGCATTAGCTTTTATATGGTCCAGGAAAGAAACCATAGGTGCAAAATGCAGATAGACTGAACACTACCAAGACATCTCTCTCTCTCTATCCCTTACAAGTGCCAATTGTATTGAGAGAGAGACTATAAAGCCAGAGAGTATAAGAAGAAAATTCCAAGAGAACTTCAGTTTGTCCTGTCTACATTGATAGAAAGGCTAAAATCCTAATACACAGGTCGAACTTTAGCAAACCTAATTACACAAAAATCTAGTTGATTCTAATGATTTTTTTTTTGAAACTGGTAAATGTTAGTTGATTCTAATGATTACTATGCTATTGAAAAGCAATTTCAATAAGACATGCTATATGATGCATTACCTTGTAATCTGGAACTTTAATGTACTCCGATGAAACAAGGAGAATATTTTCTGGCTTCAGATCAGTGTGAATCAGTCGCAAATCATGCATAACTGCAACAAGAAATACGAATGAGCAAACTGCTAGAGTTTATGGACATCAATATTCCTAGAATAAATATTCACAAGCATATAAGTAGAGATGCTCCCTTGCTCCAATAGTAATCATATGTGCAACATAAAATCCAACTTAAAATGGTAACATGATCTGAGCCTCACAAAGCTTCTGAAAATTAACAGAAAAATGTGGTAAAGATTAGTTCACACACATGCTACAGACTCCAAAAGTTGTCTTCCGAACTCTCGGACAAGATCAATGGGAAATGAACGGTAGCTGTTTTTGCGAAGAAAATCGTATAAGCTTGGACCAAGCTTCTCAAAAACCTGTTAAGACCAATTAAATCCATCCTCAAGTTTTTACACCCAGAATATCATACAAGAAGGAGCTCAACTGCCCCTCCAAATCCAATCAAATAATAAGCACTTACAATACATATATGATTACGATAGTCAAACCAATTCCTTATTTGCACACAACTGCAAGAATAAAAGCAGTGGTACTAGAATCACTTCAATTTCGGCTGTAAGTAAAGTAACACAAAAGGAAGGATGATTTCTACCGTTTGCCACCAAGATCGTGCCTGACAAGTTTCTGTAGAACGTCTATCTCGATCATTGCTGCTTCTCGATATTTATGTATTGAGCGAACAACTTTAATTGCCACAAGTTCCTTTGTTTCATTGTCGAGGCATTCAAGGACCCGTCCAAAAGTTCCTGCAATTAGGTACCAAATAGATACAGCTGAATAAATGAACTAAAATATGTTCCACATGGTAAGTGCAAGATGTACACTATTAGAACTTAGAAGCTTCTCAAGAAGTAATTTATTATTCCTGTATCATTCGAGCATTCTGTCAATAGATACTACCAGAATTACCAACCTTGATACGCAAACACCTAGTCATGCTTCAGTTAATGCTTAGTGAAACTGAATAATAAAACACTAAGTAACATAGATCACAGGCCATTTCTTTTTTCAACCAAAATTTATCTGACTACACAGAAAAATAGCAGGAATAAATCAACAAAAATATATTTCTATTTAGTCAAGATATCAAGGGAAAAAACAATTTGGCAAAATGATCCTAAGCAGGCTTTGCCAAAAAGAAACAAAGGAATTATTCAAACATAATAAAGATTGCTTCAATAAATCAAAAGTACAATGACATTATATTTGTATAAAACCCAAGAAATACCCCCTAACCAAAACATAGAAAGGGAAAGGGGCGAAGCTTGAGGAAAGGAGAGAAGAGAGGGAAATAACTAACCTTCCCCCATCTTGCTAAGTATCCTATCTGCAAATACAGAAAGGAGTAGATTAGGGAAGAGAAGCAAATTTTACAAACATAAAACTTTACAGGATAATCATGTTAGTGCAGTTGCATGTAATCATCCCGCTAACTGTAGATTTCAGTACAGTATGCCAAATTTTTTTAATTTTTTTTTTGAGATAAGACAGTATGCCAAATCTAGGTTAAGGTGACAACTGTGAAAAGAAATTGTGTCATCCTGTATTTACTCTGATACAAAAGCATTGTTGACATGATGATACTTGGAAAAAATGTCCAAAAACACAGGGATATAATCCTCAAACGGATAGTCGATTAGTTTTCATGGGACTATGTAACTATGCCCTTAAGTATACTTGTATCTCAGTTGTGGATAAGGCGCATCATGCAAGCAATGGAAATAATGATGACCTCAATCCTTCATCATTTTGGACTAGAGCATATTCGATACAATATCACAAGGGAACAAAACAAGGTCCCACATGCATGCCGAGAAAGCGCAAGAATTCTCCCTCTGCCAGAACAGAAATTGGGGATGATTTTTTAATCAGAAAAAATGAAAAAATTACAACAACCAGTTGGTACCTTATATCCTTGTCCGAGACTAGTTCAGCTTTGCTAGATGACTAGATCAAATCAGAGTTTGCAGCATTATAACTAACATTTACATGTAAGAGCAAAATCTCCTTTCTCTTACGACACTTAAATATGGACATCTAGAATATTGTACTACTTGAAATACTGCGAGCTAGTGCAATTTGTCAGGTATTAGAATCAAGTTGAAAAATACATTTTACATGCTAAGATTCTAAATCTTTTTTTAATAACCAAAAAATCATAGAGGGGAAGTGGCGCACGGTTCGGAACTCGGTAGATAATGGAGACGCCCCTCTATTATTCTTCTCCACCTAAATACCAGGCTTTTATTAGTGGTAGGGTTCTAACCCCCGATGTACTAACCAACACATCACAAGTTGTGCTCTTACCACTAGACACTAGACCAAAGCCCGGATCCTAAAATTCTAAAATTCTAATTTGATAGAAGGGAAAGTGAGAATGTAGATCTTAGGTACGAATAGTAAAAATCTAAAGGTGCAACTTCTAATATAAATTATAAAAAACCTTTTTTATTGTTTATAAATAATAGGAAGGCCTCTTCAAAATGGAAAGACAAAATCACTTGCTCGAACATAATAATTAAAAATCCTGGTACACTTGCAATGTGGAGTTACGAATAGAAATAAAATAATTTATGAGAACAAAAAAACAACTTACAACGACGAGTTAAGTTCTCCCCAATGAAAAACACATAGTGGCCATCTTTATCATCCGGTCTCTGAGGAGGGGATCCATTATGAGGGATCCCTTTGTAATATATTGAAGAATAAGCATAATTCATCCCTGCTCCATTTCTGAACTCTTGCCCGCAGTATATTGTTGGAAGAACCTAAATTTTGATGACAGTATTATATTCAATTTCTTTCCAATGCCATTTTCTCAGAATGACATAATTCAGAGATTTCACTTATAGCATATCAAATACTACCACATGTTTATTTACTGATTTTGGACTACATCATGATTTGCAACAGTATGTCTGTAGCATATCAAACCTTACTCCTATGTGTGATCATAGGAAATGAAACGAGCATGATATTTAACACTCGGGCAAACAGAAAGGCACAAAATTGACATTCCAAATGGTATCTCCCTAGCACTTACCCTTGACAGATAAGAGCTTAGTGTTACTAAATGCTCAATGAGAAACACGAACATACTACCTCGAATGCTTGATAAGATATATGAATATAATGGCTGCATCCTATCCCAGAATATTGAGATTTGCTAATTGATACACTCATCAAAAGACAAATTTAAGAAACTCATCAAAAAGAATTGCAAGTCGATAGAAGTGCCAAACTATTCAAACCAAAACACATCCCATGGAATTCTCTTACATTGTTAATTTGTGATTTAGCAATAGGATAAAAGCTACAACTGATTTCCAGAAAGTAACTACATATAACACATCTTCTAGGTCTCCTTATCTCAGTAGACTACCAGCCATTTTTCCGACACGTTCTTGTATACTTTGGTAACAAATTTTACAAAAGTTCCCATTTATAGCCTCCAAACTTTCCATTTATGTTTAACCTTCAAGTACACATGTTACCTCTGAATGCCTCAAGTTTGTCCAAAATGGAGATAACTCATAATGGACCATTCATTTCCAACTAGCATGTAAGGTCTTTTTGGCCATTCAGAACTTTTAACAAGCATATTCTACACATAGCATTTTCTTCTCAAACAGATGTTTCATGCATAACTACAAGCTTAATGAGCATTAAGTATCATCACTGTATCGTTTCCTGAATTTTATTTTCATAGACTTTTTCCCAAGGAGACTAATTTGCATTAAGTATCGTCACTGTATCACTTCCCTTGCTCCCATTAAAAAAGTTTAACTTTGAAAGCAATTTTAGTTCAAAATCTAAGTCACTCAAGTCCCGTGTTTTTTTTTGGATTAGGCTACTCGAGGACTATAATTTAGCACACTTTTAATAGCAAGAATGAACTGCCTTGCTAAACCACCTACACCTTTTCATAAGAAGGCACACTCCAACTTCATGCTTCTACACCTAAGATGGCTTTTATAAACATTCTTCTTTCAAAAGTACCCCTCCAACTTCCTTATGATCCCTCCTCCTTTTTTTTTAATTGGGGGTAAGGGAAGAAAGGCCATTACAAGGTGGGGAATTGTACATCACACTCAACCAACTAAGCTACTAAGATTTTCCACTTAATTATGATTCTCACATTACAATTTTCATATCGTGCTCAAAACAAATAAACTCTTGAATTCACATGCAATAGCAATTATGTTGCCATAAACAAACTTCAAAAATGCACTAATTCATATGTTGACAGAAACAAACTTCACAAGTAAATAAAATATCAGCACAAACTAATACTACTACTATTTTTCAATCAAAAACCTTTAGAATTGGTGGAATTGGAGGCCCTACGTCCCATGTCAAACGAGGCCGTTTCCGAGGTCGCTTATCTATATTTCTCCGTGGAAACTCCATTAATGCTTGAATCTCCATAATTGTTATCTGTATAGTAATCAGCAGCAAGAATTGAATCGAAAATTTGATGGATTTTCTGCGAAATAATCGGGTCGAAACCCTATGGATTCTGCATATCTGAGAAATGAGATGAGAGAGAAAGAGGGCTAACCCTGGTTAGTTAGTTCATCATTCACCTTAGTTAGAGATAAATGGGCTTCCGGGTTTTCTTAGTTGCCCCGAATTGCCTAAAACCCATTGTTTGGATTTTTTTAAAAATATTGGCTATCGACACCAAAATTTGTTTACCTAAACTTCTATGTCAAAATGCATCAAGTTTAACTAAAATTTATGATATAAAATTTGAAGTTTGGTCTTTATCAAACTAATAACTTTTAGTAGTATCTAAGTTAAGTCATGTCAAGGTCAAACAATTTCAGTTAAAATGTTTTAATTTTAATTTTGTCAAGTTTAGAATTTTTGTGAATTTTTTTTTAAGTTGGTCTTGGCAAGTCATATCAGTCTTACACAATTTCAGTTAAAATATTTAAATTTTGATCTTATCAAAACTAACAACTTTTGTGAAAAATGATTGAAGTTTGTTTTGACAAGTCATATCAAACTACTAATGAAAAAAATTGATGTTCAATTTTCACAAATCTAATGTCCATTTTCTACATGTAAATAAAATGTATTATTTATGATTCAAAATGGGTTATTTTCTTTCTTTGCATTTTAGAAATGTGATTTTCATGGTTGTTTCATTTCATCTTTATGGGTGTTGTTACATTTGCATTTTGATTAGTAATATCATCGTTACTTTACTATTACTAATGTGTAGAAGACTGTACAAGCACACATGTGTTCGTCAATATGTGTGCTCATAGGAATTAAATCTTAATTGAGGATATTTTTGTCATCTTACGTGAAATGTTGTGCATTTTTTTTTCAAATCATATCTTACGTGTCACAACCTAAAGGGCTTAGGTGTCAGTGCAACTTATGCACTATAACTTCCATTCCATTTTTAAAATAATGTAGAAAAAGTTTCTTTTATAATAAATAAAATATATAATAATTTTATTTATTTGTTTGATTATGATTTGACACAGAGTTTAAGAAAATAAAATAAGTATAACTAGATAACATGATAAACTACAAATCACAATATAGAAGACTCTAGAAGTAGACACCTCTTCTTCAATGTATACACATGAGTTATTTATGTAATTTTCATACTTTCTCTATTTTAATTTATTTTAACTTATTTTCTTTAGTTTGTTGTATATTTGAAAATAACGTAAAAGAAATACTATAAATCATGATAATTAACAACTTAGAAATATTTAATAAACATAAATTAATTGAATGACTCTCAAAATTCTATTGGTGCAACATAAATTGGTAAAGAAGTAACATATATCATTTAAAAATTATCAAGGATAGCACCGGGACCCTTAGTCCCTCTTTTACCATACTACAACCCGATTTGAGACTCTACCATTCACAATTCATTACACCACCAGATATCTCTAAATAACTTACAACATCGCAATTCCCACATAAAAGAACATAAAGTACAATCCACCAATCATTCCAAGAAATATGCCCAATTCCACATTATTAGTAATACGAGCAATTACACATATAAGACAAGTCAATGGTCCTCTCATGGGACTCAAGCCCAAACTGTTAGTGTACCGGTACGTGGTACCCGTTCCAAGTTAGCGCATCGGATCGTGACACATGTTCCAATATTTATGTCGGTACGTGGCAACCGATCCATGTTTATATCGGAACGTGGCAACCGATCCAAGTTAGTGTGTGGGACTGTAACACCCGATCCATTCATCAAGCCACAATCACAATCACAAAATATTCTCATAATCATACAATCAAGTCATGATTCATGACATTCGATTATTCATCTATCCTCATTTAAGATTAGTGTGATTAATAATGCAACATTCACATACATACATGTATCATAATGAAACAACAACAAACATATATCACACAACAAGAAATCACAACCACCACCTACCCTACTCACAACATATAGTCAAATACTCAAGTCTCTGACATGCATTGTTTTATGATCAATTTGGTAGGTTTGCTACTACTGTTGCGCTTTACTTATATGCACCTATATCATCTTGCCACCAGTCAACAACATAGGAATCACCACTATTTCCAAACCCTAACTCATCAATTAGGAATATGCACGTAATCAATCCCTTTTCGGTCCACAACAAGCCTAGGCATGAATTCTACCGTCAATTTCAACATACTACGCAGTGAATAACGAATTTAAAACTACTCAATTTAAATAAACCTAGCCTACTTGGACGCTAAGTATTCACAGAGGGATTGTAGATCAATTTATGGTTTTCAGGACGACGAGACGGTGATCTTGACCGAAAATCTGCAACCCATCAACCTCCTTACGCTATAAATCTCCTCATCCTTCTTTCCCAAGCCTTGAGCAGCACTTGGAGGATTTCTGAGGTGATTTACGTCTAAATTAGGTGTTTTTGGAAAAAAAAGAAAATAAGATTTCGCGTTATTTACATTCTGCCTCGCTTATTCCGCTCTGGCGGCTACTGACCCCGCTGTGACGCTGCTGCCCCAGCGGCATCTGGCCCGCCCTGGCAGGACAGTGGCTCCAGTATTTTTCTGAAGTTTTGTTTCTCCTAAATAACAACGGTTCGGGTCGTTACAGTCACGTAAATTAGGACATAAAGAGTAATATATTATTTGAAAATCATATAAAATTTGAATGACTTTCCAAATTTTAACCGTATCATATAAATTGGCACATAAAAAATAGCATGTATTGAGGTCATGCTAGCACAGGTTAACATGTCTTGTCATATGACAAGGAGGTAAAGAATGTATTACTCTCTCAAAACTAATTGAGAAATAAGAAAATATTTTCCTAATATTTCTTTTATTGGATATATAGTTTTCTCCTCCTTTTCCCCCCTCTTCTTTCTCATCACATATATCTTTTTTCTCTACTTATATTTCTAGCGTTTCAACTTCAACACAAACGTGATGTGGTTTAGCATTTTTTTTAAAATTTAAATATTATTTATTTATACCTTAGAATGACTATTTTTAAAAAATTATATTTTAAACTATAATTAAATTGTTTGTGGGCTGATTTTTATCAATTTTATGTGCTGTAAATGGTAATCTTTTATATGGGCTTTTCCTACAACTATAGTATGGGCCTCAAATATTTGTTGAAATTGGGCTGAGCCCTATTATAAATAAGACATATTGCTTCTCTCTGCAAAACCCTAATCGGCAGAAGCAGCTTCTTCTCTCTCAGGTACTCCCTCTGCAATTCTCAAACCCTAATTTCTACGTTCATCAGAACTTGAATCTTACACTTTTTGTGTAATTCATCTATTTTGTAGGTAAGCTGGTGTTTTTTTCCTAGGGTTTCAGAACTATACCTAACCAAATGGCTCCTAAAGGTATACTTCTAACTCTTTTGTTTATTATGTTGCTAGAAATGTGAAAAGTTGTTGTCTTTATGTGTGCAATAGTACAACTAGTTATTGGACTTAGCTCTAATCTGTGATGTTCTTTGGTGTTGGTAAAACAATTGAAAAAGATTTCAGTATTTTTGTTATTATTTATGGCGAAGGCATGAATTTATTGAGGATTCTTATTGTTTGCTGGGTGTGGTAGTAGTAGCTTAAGTGTTGTGAGGATTTCAGTATTCTATTTTTGTTGTTTTTGGTGTTCGGACGGATAATGGGGTTGAAATATTTTGTTGGATATTCTTATAGCATGATGTCCTTCTGCATTTTGTTCAGATTATTAGAAAACATGTTTTGAGTTATTGGTTTTAGTAACAAGTGGAGATTTGATGTTGTGACAAAAGGCTGATAGTTAGAGTGGAAGAGACTGTAGTAGGGGAATGTATGGTTGGTGCATTTCTGGAATTTATTGAAAATAGAATAATTTCTTGATTGTTGTTGTCTTTGTTTAATAGGTTAAATGAGTTATTTATTTGTGTAGCTATTGGAGCTGTAATATTTGCAAAAAGTGCCTGATTATATTGGAGCTTTGTATGATTGGTGCATCTTAGTAATTTCTTGACTAATAGGGAATTTGCCTTAATTGCCACTTGTCTATAGGTTCTGGAACATTGGTAAAAGAGAGACTACTATATGTAAGATAGTTATGCAATTTTGAGATTTTTTTTTTGGGTATGAGAAAGATATTCAACTATGGGATCACTAGGGTTGGGATAAGAATCAATATTCTGATTTGGAAGTTCTTCTTAGTTCTACCATCCTGCTACCTAGGGACATTGAGTCGTCCAGGAGGTAGTTCATGTAAGACTAGGATGAACAATGGTTAGAGGTGTACAGATAATCTTATAGGTTCTAAATATGCAAGGAGGGAAAAACAATTGTATTCCTTGCTCGTGTTGTTTTGAAGAGTGGATGTTGATTTATTTGCTCTGCCTTTTAGGCTTTTACTAATACAATCCTGATACTGGAATTTTAAACCTTACTTGCAGCTGATTCGACCAAAAAATCTGACCCTAAGGCTCAAGCCGTCAAGGCTGCCAAGGCTGTCAAGTCTGGATCAACCTTCAAGAAGAAGTCACAGAAGATAAGGACAAAAGTTACATTCCACCGTCCTAGGACTTTGAAGAAGGATAGAAGCCCTAAGTATCCTCGTGTTAGTGCACCTGGAAGGAACAAACTTGATCAGTATGCTATTCTAAAGTATCCTCTCACCACTGAGTCTGCAATGAAGAAGATTGAAGACAACAACACCCTTGTTTTCATTGTGGACATCAAAGCTGATAAGAAGAAGATCAAGGCTGCCGTGAAGAAGATGTATGACATTCAGACAAAGAAAATCAATACCTTGATCAGGTATGTTTCCTTCTGTGATGCTCTTCATTCCAGTATTGATGTAAAATGATAAATTTCAGATTGTTATCATGTATGTAACACTTGCATATAACAAAAATCTTTTGATACCTGCACAAAGACTAGTTCTTTCTACTGTATCTTTTACTGTTCTGCATATTAATGTCCAATCCTTGCTAAGCTATTTTTTTTGTGTTCCTTGTTCAGGCCTGATGGGACTAAGAAGGCATATGTGAGGTTGACTCCAGACTATGATGCTTTGGATGTGGCCAACAAAATTGGAATCATCTAAATTAGTTTCCTGTTTAGAATTTTGATGAGAACTTAGAATTTCATGAAACACTTTAATTGAAGTGCCTTGTGTTTTGAATTTTGAATTTTACTTTCCAGAGACGTGTTTTGTTCCATATTTTTGTTATAAGAGAATTCAACCTTATGCTCCTAGTTAGTACGTGGCGTATTTGATTTGCCTCATGATTAATTAGATAGTAGTAAGTTGTTTGCAATGGAGATCATTTATGTATTTATGCATTCTTAGTTCATTGATCACCAAACCTTGAAAGAGAAAGAAACAGAGTATCATTGTACCCGAAAGGTCTGAATGTGAAACAGAGTATTTCAAAACTTGGAACTTAGGGTCATTTGGTTTGAATACAAGTTGTGCTTGGGATTAATTATGCTGAGATTGTTTTTATTGATTGTTTGGTTTGTTGTATTAAAATTAATATGCATGACACTTTTTAAGAATAAGTTGTTTGTTTACAAAAATACCCTTCATCTTATTTAGGCTTTTTATATGTATTTTTTATGGAGCTTTATTTATTCACTTTTAAAAATAAATTACGTGAATATGTTTAAATTTGTATTTCATATGAATTGAAATAGGCCCGTGGGAAGCCTCTCTTCTTCACTATCATAAGTAAAATATTAATTAAAAACAATCAATCATAATTTGAAGTAAAAACTGTATCAAAATAACCAAAAACATTGGATCAAAACTCCAAAAATGCTTCAAAAAAACAGCAATAAAGTGACCAAAATACACCAAACCAGCTGCAAAAATTGCACTATTTAACAGCTAAAACTGGACAAAATTTGCATAAAAATAACCACAAAAATTGAACCAAATCTGAATTCAGACAGCAGCAAAAAATCCACCAAATCAGTAACAAAAACCGCATTAAAACGTCTATTAAGACTTGAAAAAAAAAATAACAGCAAAAACTCCAAAAATTGACCAAAATTGCACTAAAACACCTGCCAAAACTAGAGCAAGCAGCTATAAATTTGTGTTAAGATTATTTCTTATTGAGTGTTTGGTTTGTTGTATTAAAACAATATATATTGCATAAATTTTAAGAACAAGTTGTTTGTTTACAAAATTATCCTTCGTTTTATTTAGTTAATATTTCTTTTCAAACTTTAATTATTTATTTTTAAAAATAAAACATTTATTTTATTTAGCTTAAATATTTTTGTTTATGCATTCTCATGGTAAGTATCATATGTATTTAAAAATATAACTTTTTTCTTATTTATCTTAAAAATAGAATTTCCCTTTTAAGTTTTATTAAAATGAAAGAAGATTTATGGGAAATCAAAATATAAATAAACATAAGAATTAGTCAAATAAATTCATAAATAAAAATTATATTTAGATAGTGTAATTTTTTAATAGAAAAATATAAATAATTATCCTAAAAATAAGAAGTAATGAATATTAGTATACATGATATTAAAAATAATGTAAATATACATAAATGTGAAAAATGATGTATACAAAAGGTTTAAAGGATATAGTTGTCATTTTCCTAAATTATCCCGGGATTACTATGCCACCAAATGGGAGGGATAACTTATCCCGGTACTAATTCCTAATCCTGGGATAAGTTATCCCAAGCTTTCCAACCAAACAAGAAAATAAAGGGTATTTAAAAGTTATCCCGGGATTAACTCTCCCTTACAGATAGTGTAGACTTTGCACCCTACTAAGACCAGGAATGGTTCCTCGCAATGTGCAATTTCTGAGACTTCAGCAATATAATCCGAAGCATTGCAACTCCATTTGAGTAGGGTATATGCTTATGTTTGTACAAATTATTTACTATTGTTGTCCTTCAAATGTAAAACTTATAATGCTGAGTCATAGAGGATAAGAAAAGAACAAAACAGAGTTACAGTTTCACACTTTCACTAGTGATGACATGTTTTTCCATAAGAAGCTGGAATCTCGGAATGGCTGAAATTGTTGTTATCAAGTTGTCTGCATAAGAAAATTCAGAACTTCATCGTAAATTTCAACCCATCCACTTCTCAGTGGAGCTGCAAATGGCATCGCAGTTATTGTATGACAAGGATTACTATATTACAAGCAAAGATTATCGATGAATTTTATAAAGATTAATCACAAAAATATTAAAACTATCAAACTTTGAATCCCTAGTTTTGAAAATGTAATGGATTCAGTGGCAAGAATGAAACCATCAAACTTAAAATCATAAATGTACCTGTCTACATCCAACATAAAGTACAAATGATTATGTAGATCTCCTCGATGAGATACTTCAGGGTTCAAAGCATTCGGGGAAACTGCAAAATCAAGAAGATGGGACCAAAAAATATGGATCAAATTTCGTTCAACTTACAGAAGTTTCAAAGACTTGATGTATACTCCCAGTCAAATCATTCCTTTCAGAAAGAGAATTATAAAGATAATAATAAGCAAAACAGATAGAAAAATCTACTATATCTTAATATCAAATTATCTGTACAATGCAGTAATATGTGTAACAACTCACAGGTGTTAAATTTCCAGAAAGATTCATAGCCATCATACGGCTGCACAAAGGAGGAAATGCTTAACGCTATTGCACACACAAGAATACAAGATAGTCAACTAATTACTCTAATTTATGAGGTAACTTAGTTATTCATGCCCTTATCGTTAGCAAACTGTTGAGATACTACTTATGCTACTAACTGGATTGGTTTTGATGATCAACAAACAACTACAAAAGAACCAGGTCCCTTGGAGATACTAGTTATGTACTAACTAGATTGAAGGAGTGTTATGCAGATATCCAAAGAACCAAGTCTCCTTTTTTGCTGTTAATGCTATAGAGGAACTCCAACTTGAAACATAACGAAAGGTAATTTATTTGCCACAACCAAAAGCAGAGGGGTAAATTTAGACCTTTTTCCTGATATATTCTTACACGTGAAATCCACCGCACTGGAACTCGATTAAAGATACAAGGATTTTCTAACATCAAGGGTATTTTTTGTGGCCCAAAGTAGAGGTGTACATAGGCAATGCTGTTTCGGGTTTTTCAAACTCCAAACCAAACTTTGCTAGAGTAAATTGGCTTTGAATCTACCTAATTACAACAACAACAATATACTTAAGTGAAATTCCATAAGTGGGGTTTGGAGAGGGTAGAGTATATGTAGGTCTTACCATTACCTTGTAGAGGTAGAGAGGCTGTTTCCGAAAGACCCTCGACTCAAGTGCAGCAATTCCAGGTATAAAGAAGAAGAATATAATAACATACAGTTCCTTGACATGCAAGTAGCCATTGGCTCCAGCTTTGTTGAAACAATTAACTCCAGTCCAGTTAGATGTACATGGATCGCCCTTTTCCCAATCTTTCAGGTACTTCATATTATCAACCAAACCATTCTTAATAGATACCAAAGCTGAGAAGTAACCAACCATATGGATTTAACAAAACCTTAATACCTCTTTCTCCCCCGTTAACTGTTCAACTTACCTCAAAATCTCAAGAAACTTGACTTAGTACAGCTTTAAATGCATCTTTACAGTTCATTGATATTTGATACCCAGAGGCGTATCCAAGATTTCGGCTAGATGGGTGCACGATTACGAAAAAATGTATCTTAAATATAAATTTGATCGATTTGACTTTTTGATTCTTAATATGAACCATTAAATTTTAAAACTTAAAGGTCCAAAATATATAATACTACTAGTTTAAAATTTTAATATACACATTTGATTTAATTATATAAAAAATTTACAGTGCTAAATTTTTTAGGAATTTGCAATGTAACACACTTGAAATTTTTTGAAAGATTAAAGGGGAAAAAAAGCAAAATTAGTTGAAACGTCAAAAGTGTAACTGAGAACCACTTGAAGAGGTGTTACTCAAAAAGACAACATAGATATAAAATTTAAATTTCTATCCTCACTTAGATAGGTGCACCCAATCATCATCATCATCGTATTATTATATGATACTTTGAACATGGGTTCACACATCTATATTTAAATATTTTTAAAAAAATATGACACTACTATATATGATATAGAGAGGGGAGAATGGATTCACGTGAACCCACGGCACCCCCTCTAGATATGCCTCTGTTGATACCTATGTTGTAGTACATCAGGAATTACAAAGTGGACGGGACCTTTTGTGTTGTGTCTGCTGGACATTGAAGTGTGGAGTTGTGCATCAAAATTCTCGAAGAAAATCAGTTTCTTGGCTCTTCATTGCGTGCTCGAGGAAGTACCCAAGAAGTTCATAAATCTCAGGCTTGTTGGCATGTCTCTTGTCTCCAGTAACAAATACATGAATTTTGCATTTGCTTTCAACCCAACTACATCCAGGGACCGCCTTCAACCCTTTTTCCCTCATTTCATTCCTTACGAAGGACACACTCTGCCATCTTCCAGCAGCAGAATGTGCATTCGAGAGCATCACATATGATGAAACATCTCTGGGCTCTAGAGCCAATACCTTTTCAGCAGCATATTCCCCTAGCTTCGTGTTTGAGTGAATCTGACAGCCTCCTAACAAGACCTTCCAAAATCCTATACCTGGATCAAAAGGCAAATCATGAATAAATTTCTCAGCTTGTTGAAACCTCCCTGAACGCGATAGCAGATCAACCATACATGCATAGTGCTCAGATTTCAGCAGATTAGCATCCTGAGTTCTTGCCTGCTCAAAATATGAATAAGCCTCATCAACAAGACCAACATGACTACATGCAAGTAGCAAACCAAGAAGAGTAACACTATTTGGCTTAATTCCCATATATTCCATTCTCTTAAACAATTCAATCGCTACATCCCCTCTCCCATTTTGAGCATGAGCACATATTAGAGCATTCCAAGTCACAACATTTCTTTCAGGAAGTCTATCGAAAACGCGAAGACAATCCTCTAAACTCCCACATTTTGCATAAAAGCTAACAAGGGAATTGCCTACAAACACACCAACCTCACCCAAATACTTCACAGCACAAGCATGGAAACTTTTGCCCTTACCCAATGCTGCCATATTTGCAGCTGCACTTAACAAAGAAGGGAACGTTGATTGATCAGGTATGAAACCTCGTCTCAACATCTCAATAAAAAGATTAACAGCCTCTTCGTTACATCCTTTCTTGCTATACCCACTAATCATAGCATTCCAAGAAACAACATTTCTCTCCGGAATTATCCGAAAAATTTCCATTGCTTCATCAAACCTCTGTTCTTTAAGATACCCACATAATAAAGTTGTGTAAGAAACCACATTTGGTTCATGGGTATCCACAAAAACAACCAGAGCTTCTTCAATGCTGCTTAGCTTTACATAAAGATCCAAAAGCGCACTACCCACATAAACATTCGAGTTAAGACCAATTTTCATTGAAACAACATGAAATTGCTTTCCTAAATTTGGGTCATTGAGAACAACAGATGAGTGAATTACAACACCAAATGTGAACTCATTCGGTCTGATATTCAGCTCAAACATTCTTGAGAAGATAGTCATTGCTTTCTTGTGTTGATTCAATTGAGCAAAACGGCTAATCAAAGATGTAGCCGATGCTACATCTCGTTTAGGCAATTCATCGAACAACTGAAATGCATTTGTATCAATTTGGGTAAAGCATCTAAAAGTTGAACGTCGGATTCTTATATATACCGGCAGATACAGAAAAGATAATCGAGTAAAACGTGAATGTATCATAGCAAATGTCGAATTAGTGGCCTAAAATCAAATTTTAATAAGAGGCCTTCAAAATTGGAATTATAAAAATCACGCCTACATAATTTGTTGCCTATTTTTCCAACATTTTAAATGCAAAGTTGTTAATTGTTATTTTTAAAATGAATTATAACTCAAGTATATAGAATTAAAAAAATCCAAATTAAAATATAATAGAAAAGTTAAAAGCACTTCAAGTTTTTTTTTTTTATGAGAATTAAAAAATAATACTTACATAATAATTTAGAATATTTATATATATATATATATATGAAAATTACCTCACAAACTCTTATACTTTTTTTTAGCGTCACCTGACTGTAAGAGCTGACCAACTGCTTCAATGGCGATAGCCGCCGCCATTACATTGCCTCTCACAACCCCAACCCGCCGGTCTCTTTCTTCCCTTTCCGCTAATCCCAATCGAATCTCTTCTCCCTTCACTTTACAATCGAACAAGCTCAAATTCGCCGCCATACAGTGCCCTAGTTTCCGGATTTCTGCGGTATCATCAATGAAAATCGAAGTTCCGGAGAATAGCTCTTCGGCTTCTTTCCTTGATCGTAAAGAAAGCGACTTTGTTCACTTTGTCAAGTACCATGGCCTGGGCAACGACTTCATATTGGTAATACATACACGCTCAATATCGAATATAGCTTTTTCTAAGTTACGAGGAATTTGCAAGTAAAAAGATGAAACTTGCTGCATTGGTTTCCAGCTATCGTTTTTTCTCCCACATTTTACTAATTTGTTCTCCCTTTAAATACTAATTCCACTAATGATCAAATTCACAGTTTATCTATTGAAATCTTTTGGTACAAAGTTTAAGATGATGGTATTTGACATAATACAAAGTTTAAGATGTTAATTTTCCTTGTGTATGATAGTAGTGGAAGAAAATAATTGAAAAGTTAGTTTTAGTTGTAAAATTTGTTTGATACCGAAAGCATGACTTTAAAGTTTTAACTTTAAAATTTAATAGTTAAAGGAGTTTGAATTCTTGAAAGTTGTATGTAATAGTAACAATAGAATGATGTAGAACTCTTATAGACATTCAAAAATGAACAGAGTTGCATATAAATTGGAACTAAGGGAGTATTTAAGTATCTTTCTCGTGCCTTTTAATTTGAATACAGTGAAATTATCTCACTTTTCTACATCTTGGAGCTTCTTCTTTTTTTCCCTCTATCTTGAATTGCCTTATCTTTCTTGCCGTTCTCTTTTCCTGTCTTCGCAATAAGCTAAAATGCTGCTTCTTGTTCAATAACATGTAAAAAGGATGGATTTTTACCCTAGTGATGACTTGTTTAGAGTTTAGTCTTGGAAAAAAATGCAATCTTGCGGAAGATAACTTTCAGTTTTTGCTGGAATATTGCTGGTTTTTAATAAACAATTGACAGTTTACAACGTTGAAAGTTGGGTATATTATTTATTTGATTAAGCTCACAATAGTTAAGGTCTTGAGACCAAAATCCTATGTTTATGAATCACAAATAGCAGTCTATACCTGGAATTTTGACATTTGGGGAAATACACATAAAAGTATGGGTGGGAAAGAGCCATGGTTCTTTGATTAGATGCTTATCCTTTATATGCTTGTTTTGAGTAGGTTGACAATAGAGATACAACAGAACCTAAGGTCAGTCCTGATCAAGCTGTGAAACTGTGTGATAGAAACTTCGGTATTGGTGCGGATGGGGTAATATTTGCAATGCCGGGTGTCAATGGCACTGATTATACCATGAGAATCTTCAATTCAGACGGAAGTGAGCCAGAGGTAACATCACCTGTTCTTTGACTCTAGAATTGATTGCATCTGTCTCGGGCAGAAGTAATCTGACCTATTTGACCTCTAAACATGGTGTCTTTGTGTTTGCACATCTATGATTGAGAGAATGATAGAACGTGTTGAAATGTATCTTGCTGTCCATTCTGTCTCCCTCTCTCTCTATCTTTCTGATTCCTTACTTTTGTTGAATTTCCTTTAGTCATGCCCTTGCTTTTGTTTGGTGGCAAGAAAATATAAAAAGGACTTCAGAAGAACATGATGTTGTCATTTTTCTTTGTGACATGTGTAAAGATATCAGTGTTACATATATTGAATATCCTTGCATATCTGCTAACCATGCTGTTGGGTCTGTTTCACCCTGTGCATTAGAGAAGTATATTGATGCATATGACTTCCTCCAGTACTTCTATTTTTGCAACTTCAACTTGTCCTGGAAGCCCTACACTGCAGTTGCTTCCTCACATGGAGACAGTAGTTTTACTGTGCTTGGGTTGTTGGAGCAGCTAAATACCACAGGAGAGTTGCCTGTTTATTTGTGGTATAAATCTAATGTCGAGATCAATCTAACAGCAGGGGTTTTGCAAAGTGGCAATTGGCCCGGGCTTATTGTCTTCTCTGCTGAGCAAGTATTGCATATTTTTGTGAAAAAACAATGTGCAAGAACAGTATTTGGACATTTGGGTAACCCCAAACTGTCTTGCAGCGATGATATGAATCAAGGAGCTGGTGTAACCATGAATTCTGATATAAGCTTTGTCCATGTTGTTCTGAATGATGGCCCTCAATCTGAGAAATGGAACAGTAGTATTTTTAGACCAGCTCCACCTGCTGATCTTAACCAGTTCCTTCATCTGTCTAGTGGTCACTCAATTGTTGAATGGATTGACGACTGCTCAGTAGTAGTCTTATCGATCATTTTTGAGATTTGTATTTGACTCTTTTGTGGGTTAATGTCATTAGGATATCCAGTTACAATCATTTTAAAAAGGAGCAGCCACATCTTTTCTGATGACAAGGTTAGCGTGAAACTTGGTTGGTTCGAGCAATTTCATCTCAAATTTTCAATTCACAGTTTTAAGATTGCCCGGAGGTTGAAAGAGCAAAAGCTTTTATTGGTGAACAAAACAAAAGAGCTACTATACCATATTCACGAAAGCAAATGCTCTATGAACAGCAAGTCGACCAGCTTGAAAGTTGCCATTTGCCTCTCTGTGATCAAATGTTACAGTTAGAAGGTGCAAACACCACAACAACACTATTATTGATGCTTTGGGAAATACATCAGCTGCAAGGGAAGTCGGGCAGAAGGCTCCGACTATTGAGGATATTGACAAAATAATTATTGCAATCAGCAAGCAGATGGAGAGTATGAAAATGCTACAAGAAGCAATCTTTTCGCATATTTGTGCAGCTGCTGATTTTGTCGAAAGTGAGTTGCAGGCAACAAATATCGCGTTGAAGATTATGTTAGCTGGATATTGTCTGAAAATTTCTCCAAATGAGTTCTATGAAATGCTAGGGAAAGCTGGTGGGGCTTCCATTGGACTAAAGATGTGGTCTTGCTCTCAACACAAGATTAAGTGTTTGTTGGATGCTTTTGAAATTGGGAAGAGATATGTAGTGTTGGTTATATCTTTAGAAGAATCACCCCACAATGAATGTAAGCTACTGGAAGTTGATTTTGTGTTGGGTGCTGGAAGGATTTGGTTCAAGTTGGTTGAGAAAGTGGCAGTCCCTTTGAGTGCTTTTTGAACTACAGAGTACAGGTGCCAATGCCATCAATTTATAATGTCTTAGAGGAGTTGGATCCAACAATTCTCAATGCCCTCAGTTCAAAGCTCCATAAGGTGTTCAAAGTTGGTCCTTTAGTTCTGTCATCTTCATCTCCCAAGAAACTCCTTGATGTATATCTTGTTAGATATGGATGCATCCTCTGGTTTGAAAAGCAAAACGAAGAATCGTTATTGAAAGTTGCTTTGGATATTGAAGCGTCTAAGGAATTCCTCTGGGTTGTTAACACTTATAAAGAGGAAGAAGACAACACTTTGGTCTCATTAGGCTAAACTCGAACCTTGAGGACAAGGTTCTTATTGAGGTGGGGAGAATTGTTATGAATGTAACTAAGATGGAGGACGCATGTGAGAAGATGTCAAATTACATTTGGGACCCCGGGAAGATGCCTATATATTGAAGAGGGAAATAATCAATTAGAGTTTATGCTATGAAGTTGTCTCTTTATTTCTTAGTTGCTTAGATTAATTCTGGAAACTCCCTCCATTCTTCCTTTTTATTTCTTCTTCGTCCCTTGGAAGATTTGTTACTAGTTTGGAGTAATTATAATGGTGAACTCTTTATTTGTAATTCCAATTATCCATTTGAATACAATATGGGTTCATTACATATTTCCTTTTGTCTACAAACAGATGTGTGGTAATGGAATTCGATGCCTTGCCAAATTTATAGCTGAGCTTGAGAACTTCCATGGAAAGAAAAGGTATTTGTATCCTATTTGTTTGTCTATGTACAGTAATCTACTTTATAGAGTCTCAAACATCAGCCTGGTATTTACTGCTTTATATTTGTTGAATTACTTACTTGTTTCTTTGTATTGAAAACTTCTGGGGAATTTGAAGCTTCTTTAAACTTACTTATTTGGTGCTTTGGAGGGGTAAATTTTGAATTTGCTTGATGAATTTAAGATTAGCAAATATCGTGAACCATCATGGAACATCAATACTGCTTCCATAACTTGATCATGCCATTCACGTCTGAGAATTTTGTACTGCCAAGCAACATAGTTAGTTTTTCTTTTTCAATTCTTTTTCTGCTTAAGGTTCCCTCTTTATATAATATTTGTACTACTTATTATTTGAAGTGGCATCATGAAAAGCTCTACATAGAGATCCTAAGCACCATATGCTATTTGGTTGGTGTTTCAATATCTGTATAACTGAACATATTCTAGTGGCTTGGATGGTTTGCTGTTTTAATATGCCATTTTTCAGAATATAAATGCATCTTGGGACAGCTGAAATTTAACACTTGTGTGAATATGACCATCAGATCTCTGCATGAATTGAACAGTGATAAGAATCATCACTTTGTTGTTCAGTACACTTAATCTGATCCTGGTTGGTAGGACTAATTGATTGAATAACTATCGATTTGATTGTTGTGGCTCACCAATCTTGGT